ATATATATATTTCTTTCAGATACACACACACAATCTCAAGTGTCTTTTCCCACTTTGTCAGACAAGCATTTTCAGAAAATCTGTACTAAAAAGTTAATGCTTGAGGAGGAGAAGGAGCTAGGCAAAAAAAAAGGAAGTACATTAAAGTAAGAAGAAATCCCATATGCAAATATCAGAAGATTAACACAGTATGGCATGTTTGGAATACAGCTAAACCATATGGCAAAGGATATTTGAGAAAGTCTGAATTATGAGGGACAACTACTTTGTATTTTTATTAAAGCAACTGCTCCATGAATGTTTATTTAAGTATTTAAGTCAGTATTGTTTACTGACCAGATCTGTAATACTTTATTGTCCCGCTGTAATAATGGCAGAGTTGGATGTGGAAAAGGTTGAAGGCCAAATGAAAATAGTCCTGATTCCTATAGATTCAATTGCCCTAACTTCTAAAAAATAATAAAGCAAAAGGAAACTTCAAATAAAATCTGATACAAGTATGGTATTTTTATTTATTATTTTTTAAATTTTTATTTTAGTGGTACAATTTAGGTATAGAATATAATGACATTCATCATTGGAAATTTGCACCTTTACATAATCTCTCTTATTTCTTATTTTTCCTCCTGCTCCTGCCCTCCCTTCAACCCCTCCATCCCTCCCTATTTACGAGTATGGTATTTTAAATAATTCATTATATTTCTAGGAAATTGTTGTTACTAATGAAATATTAATGGTTATTTTAGCCATAGTTAATGTAAAATAAGACATTTAGTTTGTTGGGAAAACTCAATAGTTATGGCATTTTCTTTTAGATCTAGAGGATGGCCAGAAACAAGCTATGGTTAGTGAACGGACAGAAGCCTTTACCACTGCTCGAAATTTATTGGCCTCTGGAGCGGATGCTATTGAAAGGATCATGTCTTCATACAAAGAGGTACTTACATTTCTTTTCAGTTTGATTAAAATAAAATACATCATATGAAAATCAAGCACAGTGTATATTACCAGATAAACTTTGTATTTTGGGAACATATCTTTTCTCTACCAAAAGCTGCTGAGTATAATTAAGATGAACAACACCTCCTGTGTTGCTGCTAAACTCTATTATTTCTCTTTTTCTTGTCTGTTGTATATTTGTTTTTAAATTGTAAAAAAAAAAAAAAGCTAATTCCTCATCTGTGAACTCAACTTAAAGTGCCTAAATTTACATTCTTATTTCAGCATTTACAAATTATGTGGCCTTAGTCAAGTTCATTAATCTGTCTGTGTCTTTGTTTCTTTATCTGTAAAATGGGGATAAGGACAGTACTAACTGTGTAGGGTTGTTGCAAGTTAATGCATGTAGAATACTTATTTAGCATTCAGTAAGTTAGTTAAAAATATTACTTCTATATCTAGCAAACTTTATCCAGCCTTCATTGATGAAATCTCACCAATCGAACATTACACCTTCTTGCTACTTTACCTACCATACAGATTGTGGGTTTTCCTTTTCTATCTTTATGTCTTTGTATAACTGGTGTGTTACACATAATTTAGTGACATGCTTTGTTTTTTGGTATCATTTTCTCAGTTTTTATGGTTTTCTTTCACTGAGAAAAGTGATCTAGATAAGAGATGAGTCACTTTTCACAGTACCCTGATAACAAGGTGTTTGCTTGATAGAAAAACCACAAGATATTAACTCAAATCGGACTGCTGGCAGAATAGGAGCAAGGCACATTATGGGCTAAGGCAGAGATTTATCTCATTTTATTTTATAATCTTACCTAGGAAAAAAGCCCACATATTTAACATTTTTCCTTAGCCATATGAATCATATTTGGCTTGAAATGAAGCTGGATTTGTACCAAGAGGATTTGAAACTTTTAACTGAACTCAATTTCAAAACGCTATCCTCTAGCACAGATATTTCTCTGGCCCTACAGGAATTTTTACAATCAATTTGGCTCAGAAATATTCATTTCATAAGAAAAGAAAAAGTACTTTTCTTTAATTTAAAATCTTCAATTTTATAAAGAAAAGACACCAAAGGTAAAGGATTGTCATTTCATTGAATTTTTTGCAAAATTTCTAGCTTTCTGGAAATGGAATTTGTCACATGAACAGGGGCCAAATCAGAAATTTGACTAAAAGATCCTTAAAAATGAAAATATTCTGAAATGTTCACATTTCATTTTGACTCATAACCAGGATGAATAATTTTTTGTGTTTACAATCCAATCAAACTTACATTGACAGCTTGCTATATTACTCTGTCAGTAAGCTTCTTACTGTCATTTACTTTATGTACTATGTCATTTCTCATGTATAATAAAATCTTTAACATTAAATCGAGAAGCTTACACTATTACACATTTATTTAAAGTCTGTCTTGGATGTATTAACTTTATTTTCTTTTTGTGTATTGATTTTAGATCACTGAATTAGCAGGCTATACTGCTCGAGTGTATAACATGTTTTGGGTCTTTGATGAAGTAAAAAGAGGCATTTATAAGAGAACAGCTGCCATTGAAGAGCCTGAAAACCATAGCAAGATTGGGGCTAACATAGAATTACCTCTCGGTGACACATTGGCAATCAAAGGTATGAAACTCAACTGATTAAGTGTTATTTTATCAATAGAGTCCTGTATTTAAGTATTATTTTTATCAATAGAACCAATTTTTTTTAACAAAATAGGTTTTAATAGTTACAAGGAAGCCACATTTAGATAACCAACATTATTTAAACAGCTATCCCTAAAATTAGTTTTGCAATATGAGGGGTGATGACTAACAACTAACATTACCCTAAAAAAGCAATGTTATGTTTATTTAGAAAAAAAATTCTAGAGCCATATTTGCAAATAGTGCACATGGCAGAATGAATTATTTGCTTTTAAAATTCAACTAACAGAATTAGAGCCAATGTCATATTGTTTTTTTATTAACCTATGTTTTAAGATTGTTTTATCAGAAGGGGAAAGGGAAGAAGGGAAAGGAAAAATTATGAGAAAAGAAAAAAAAATGGAAATGAAATCTATGTAACTAGGGAAGGGTGGAGGGGGTGAAGGGTGCACAAGTAATGGGGAACAAATAAGAACCAAGATACATCATGTACAGGCACAATCACCCAATGATCAATATAAACGTATTGTATGCCTAAACGGTACCAATAAAAGAATTTTTTTAAAAAGATTGTTTTATCACCATGTTTTAAAATGTATTTTTCCACTTCTTAAGGCTTTTTTTTCCCACAGCATTGTATTTTTTTCTGCAGGAAAGTTTAATTTAAGGAAGCAGAGTAGTTGTAAAAAGTATGGCTGGAGTATAGAAAATTAAGTTTAGCTGTGCAATCACAATGATACTGACATTAGATTATGATAAAATCGTGTTTCTTGGAAAGATTTTCTAAACAGGTGTCAAAATATACAAGTTTACATTAAGCATTGTTTCATATATAGATTTTCATAGTTTTCTTTTGGTTTACTACTATGAATTACCCTTATAATTGAGTTACTCACTATGATGCATTTAACTTTATTTAATTAACAATAACTTGGGATAACTTTTGTAACTGAAAGTTTTTCTTAATTATAGGAAAAGTTATTGATGTGGATCATGGAATTATTTGTGAAAATGTTCCCATAATTACACCAGCAGGAGAAGTGGTGGCTTCCAGGCTAAACTTCAAAGTAAGATGATATTCAAGAATCTTCTGATTATTGCCATCACATTAATACAAAACAACTTCAGAATTCATGTACCTTAAGTTAAATACTTGGAGGAGCATATGGAAGGAGGGGAAGTCAAGAAAGGTATGCACAGTGGCTCAATTACAGAAGCAGTTACTTCCCCCAGAAAGCAGAGAAAAAAGAGAAATTTGACTTCTACTGCTTTATTGTCAGGTTGAAAATGAAAATGACAGTGCACTGAGCCTATGCAAGGTAACTTTGGGGAACAATAAAAAGTTTGCTCAGAAACTAGCATATGGAAACAAATCTGAATTTTTCTTTATATAAATTACTAAAAAATATAAGATTATACTTTAATATACTTATTAAAATATGAGGGTAATGGTCAAGATTAATTAGCAAGTTTAATTCTGCTACTATACTGTTTCTAACTTTAATTTCTACTTAAGTAATCACATTTACTACTAGAATAATCATAAGATTCATGGATTCAACTTCAGTTTTTAAACTTGTTAAGAATAATTTGTTATGTAATATCCCACATCCTGATTACAAAAACTAGATGTAAAATATTCAAGAAAAACCTGAAGCATTGCATAATGGAAACATATTTTGTGTGACTGTAATGAAGGCAGTTCAGCTTAGTTCAAACAGGTCCAAAGATTGAACTTGATAATTGAATTTGAAACTAATGATTTTACTAAAGTACTGATGATTTTAGAATGGACCATAATCTGGGTTTAATTCTTAAAGATGTATTTGCAAATGAGATGGGTTGCAGAAGTTGAAAAGAGAGGGTGAGATGCACTAGAGAAAATTAGGTACCTGTGCCATACATCACTATTTACTTATCTGTTAATAGCTTAGCAATTTGTTATTTATGACTTTTGTGTAGTTTTTTTCTTTTGGTCTAATTAGGTATTGTAGTATCTATTCTTGTTGCCTCATTTAAAAAGAGTGAAATCAGCATACTTTTTTTTAAAGTTTATTAATACATTTTAGGTATACAATATAATGACATTCATCATTGGGACCTTTACATGATATATCTTGGTTCTTATTTTTTTCCCCATTCCCCTGCCCTCCCTTCAACCCCTCCACCCCTCCCTATTTACAAAGACTTTGTTTCCATTTTTTCCTTATCTCATATTTATTCCTTTCCCCTCTTTCCTTTCCCCTTCCCCTCCCACTTCCCCTTCCCCTTTGAACCTTTTCTTCCAATTTCACATTATCTGTTATACATTTTGATCCTTATTTACACTTTCAGTTTCTCACACCAGAGAAACTATTCGCTATTTACACATGTGTGTCCTATTTATTTCACTTAAGAGTATGGCCTCAGTGTGCATCTATTTAGCTATAAATGTCTCTATTTCCTCATTCTTTATGGCTGAGTAGTACAACATTTTATATATTAAAAAAAAAACACATCTTCTTTATCCAGTCTCCAGTTGATGGGCAATTGGGCTGTTTCCAAGTTTTAGCTATTACAAACTGTGCCACTATAAACATGGGTGCAAATATATCATTTATCGCTATAGTATGATTCTTTTAGGATTAGAGGTCCCATTTGACCCAGCTATCCACCCTGCTGGGTATCTTCCCAAAAGGATTAAAAGCATACTCTTTTTTTCCTGTCTCTTTGTTTTCTTCTCTTTTCTTTTCTTTTTCTTTCTTTTGTTCTCCTCCCACCCCATATCAGGCAGGTAATGTGTTGAAGCCATGTCAAAGTTTAGTGAATCACATGTCACACAAGGGACTGAACTACCTGGTCATTCCATCTATGAACCAGAAAGGATCATGCATCACACTCTGTGTGTGAAAAAGTCCAGAGCTCTGTTTCTTTTATATAAAATGAACTAAAAATACTTAATCTAGTGGGAAAAATCTTATTAAATTTGAAGTCTTACAAAATATACATCATTATAGTACACTTCTCGGTAATTATTTCTGACTTAGATAGGAAGTTATATTTTAGCTGTTGGGTCCCTACAACATGATAGAAAATTTTGTTTCTTTTGCATTGATTGAAAAATAAGTAGGTTTCTAGAAGAAAAGATTTTCATCCTCTTGTTGACCTTCAAAATGAGAAATATAATTTGCAGAAGAAAATTCAGTAAATGTGGGAATTCTTTGTCTGAAACTCATTGTTTATTGACATTAGAGAACTTATGCTGAGAAAATATTAATATAAAAGTCTTTAATTGCCACTCAAAAAGTGTTAAATTTCTGTGAATTCATAATACAGAATGACCCTATTAAAACAGTTTTGTGAATGTGCTTCTCACTTTCACAGATACCTTTAAAAAATCATTTGAAAGTATTTATGCTTCTACAAATTTAAACTTCTTTAATCTCCTCTAGTGAAAAAGTACATGAAAATCTAAAGTTAATTCTTTCCAGGTTTGTCCAAGAATTTTTTTGGATACTAGCAATGTAACACTCTTTCATCTTTGAGTTTTCATTATCATGTGTTCTACATCATTGATACTTGGATATTTGTATCCAGTCAATACAAAGTTACATCTATAGATATCCTGTGGATTTCTGTCTCTTGTGCTTGCAAAATGTATTTATTTTTATATCACTTATTAGAAAACATTATTTCTTAGGAGATATAAGTGAAAATTTTATTGCTGTTCCTCTTCTTTGTTCTTCCCTTTATATACTGTGGTAAGATAATTTCTTTCCCATTGAATGGAATGGAAACTCATGAAATTTAACTGTTTAAATCATAAATAAATAGAAGATAAAAGGAAGTCTCCAGTAAACAGATAAAGAGCTTCTGTTTTATTGATGAATACTACATACATGGAATATTTATGTATATTGATAAGATATATATTCTGCATTTATGCAGTTGTCCCTCGGTATCTTCGAGGGATAGTTGCAGAATCATCTGCAGATACCAAAATCTGCTAATGCTCAAGTCCTTTAATTGAAATAATGTACAGAAAGAAATCTGTATGTGTTCAATACAGATGCAATTTTGCCTTAAATATTTTTAATTCACAGATGTTTGAATCCTTACAAGTGGAACATGTGCATATGGATGGCCAATAATATGTTTTAATTCATCCCTAGGCACAAGACTAAACTGCAGTTCTTCCTTGCCTCTGTCAGCTTTCTAAACATATCTTCAACATCTGTGAATAAAGCAGAATTAGAGTCATCTTCTCTCATTGATTATAGGTTTGTGTGATTTCAGTAGCATTTCAGATTGCTGAAGTACAAAATAAAGCCACTCAGCTGGCTCTTCAAATAACTGTGCGTTATAGCACATAGCATCATTGACTGTTTTTTTTTCATTGACTTTTAGTTGTTGTTTAAGTCACTGTAAATGTAGTCATATAATATAAATAATTTAAATTTTATGATTTGTCTTCTTATATTGTTGTATTTCTCTATATATGAGTATATCAGATAATAATACTTCAATCAAAATGTTGTGAAGCCAGTGCTTAGTCCAAAAAGATCCATTTTCTTTGCAATTAAATTATTTTATGATGCTTTTAGCCTTGGAGAATTGTTGAAGCCAAACTTGATCTGCTTGATCCTCATACTGTATATTTTTCTTTGATTTCTTGTTTATCCAAGGTGATCATGTGATTGAATTTTTTTAATGAATCTCTTTTACATGCTCCCAAATGAAATTATTTTTAAATATTGCAGTTTGTAATTTTATTTTTGATGTTAGGTACAAGAAGGAATGCATCTTTTGATAACTGGTCCCAATGGTTGCGGAAAAAGCTCTCTCTTCAGAATTTTAAGTGGACTGTGGCCTGTGTATGAAGGAGTCCTTTATAAACCACCTCCACAGCATATGTTCTATATTCCACAAAGGTAAGTATTTTTTCTATATCACAAGAAAAAAATATACTTTTGGTCTTGAATTTTGTTGATTCTTTAGGCTCTTTTCAAGGATATAGTTCATTGAGAGAAGCTACTAAGGAAATTAAAATTGGATTATCCCAAAAAGTTTTGTTACTGCTATGATTTTTTTTTTCTTTTTTCTTTTTTTTTGATACTGGGGATCAAACTTGGGACCTTGCACTTGCAAAGCAGGCGGCAGCACCACTGAGCTAAATTCCTGGACACTACTATGATTTTAATAGTCTCTGGAACAATATCACTTATTTTCATTTTCATATCTGACTAGTCGTAATGAAAACTCAAAAACTGCTAATGTTAGGCTCAAGAGATAGCAAACTATTTCAAAGAATACCTAGATTGCCTTAGATGTTAGATTACCTCTTCTCATAGAAAATATAGTATTTAGATGGAATACAGAGTTCTCCATCAAGCCTTCTGCATTCATATATTCTAATTGAATATTTATGTTTAAGCACCTTGGTAAAAATAACTATTATTATCATTGTGCTACATAATTCAAAATAGTTCTAAGAATGAGTATAAAGTATAATATTCTTTTAAAATCTTTAGCTATCATACATTATAACAATTTAGAAATGTGTAAACACAAAGTTATACATTTGAGAATTTGGAATGTTTATTATGGATAGGAGAAAATGAAGTTTGAAGAAAAGACACTACTTATATTCATCTGGTCCAATAATGTTTCCGTATGTTACCATTACAGGTTAAACAGACATCTGTTTCTGTTGGAACAGGGGATTGGTTCTGTGGAGCCTTACAGAGCTCCAAGGCTGGAAGTACAATATTAGAGCAAACATAAAAGTTACATCAAGTATAGCACAATCTCATGTCTTTTCTGCCCCTTTTTCTTTGTTAAAGAGCACTGCTACCATTCTGGCCATGTGTCTAATTTTTAGAGCATATGTAGTAGTTAGGCAGATGAGGTTTTAAAAATTATTGTCTTTTCTTTAAAGTAAGACCAATAATGGTAGAAGTTATCTGGAGTATAGGAAAATGAAAGCATTAGCTGAAAATTTGAGCATGAGCACTGTCGTGTTGGTAGTCATGTTAAACGCAAAATACATAGGCACCAAATTTATTGTTCCTTCCTATGTTTTAAATTCCTTTGGGATTATTTCTGATTCTGAAAATTAAATTTTACTGCCAAAAGTTTAAGTTTCAGAACTTAACACATTAAGTAGACTTATTTGAATTTTGTATTTAAATTATAAAATATGGAATCATGAGGAAAATATCCTATTGTAGAATTCTATTCTCTTAATGAAAATGAAGATATATAAATAAATTTTATACATTTTAGTTATTATAGATTTCATGTGTAATATGAAATATACAGTGCTTGAATATACCTTTGACTTGAGTGATATAGGACATTTCCAAGCAGTGAATGAATTCATGAAAGTTTATAAATTAATTTTGTCCACAGAGAGACCTATGTTATTTTGAAACAAATATAAATCACTGGGAAACTTTATCCTACTTGTGAAGTTTACTTTTGCCTAAGCAAAAAGCTCAACTACAACCTACTTAAAGAGAAAAATAAGAATGAGAAATCTGTTTTGAAGGCTAAAAGTGTTTTTATAATCATTATTTTTTAAAGTTAGTACCTTATTATATGGTTTCTAGAATCATAAAAATTTGTATTCATGTTTAAAATTTTTACAAGACCATTTCCTTACAAAAATCCTAACATTTATTTGAATGAATATATAAACCATGAGTCTAAATGTCTTCATTTCTTATACTCTAATAGCTGCCAATTTTTTCAAGTACGTTTGAAAATAATCTTATGTGATTTTATTAAAATAAAGCTGATATATGGTCTATTTCAAAATATTTGTCAGAAAATAATCTTTTAACTTTTCTTCTTAAACTACTCTCTTTAATAAATATTATAATCTAAATTTTTTACATTACTTTGTAGCAACAGAATATAGTTGAACTACTAGTTTGGCAGGAAAAAAAGAGCCAGCATAGAATCAAGATATAAGTACAATTTTCACAAGTCATAAAACAAACACAGTAATCACCCTACACTCACATTTTGTGGTAGAAATACTTCTTGGTAGCAGATGGAGCTCTTTATGTTTTAATCAAATGCACAAGTATATTAGTTATTACTTTCCCAGGAAAATGGAGTATATTTATGAACACAGACTTTTTTTTTCTCCTCCTACTTTTTATTTATTTTTTTCCTGCATTAACTTTATTGGTACATTTTAGGTATACAATACAGTTACATTCATCATTGGGATCTTGTACTATTACATGAGTCTCTTGGTTCTTATTTTTTTCCCCCTTTCCCCTCCCTTCACCCCCCCCACCCTTCCCTATTTGCAAAGACCTTGTTTCCATTTCTTTCCTCTTCTCTTATTTTTTCCTTTCCCTTTTTTCCCTTCCCCTACCCCTCCCAATTCCCCTGCTCTTTTAGACCTTTTCTTCCTGTTACACAATATCAGTTATACATTTTTAAAATTACAATACTAAGATCTAGGAGACATTACCACAGATTTTACAGAATTTAAAAGGATATAGAAAGCATATTACAAAAATCTGTTTTGAAATAAATTTGACAACTTCTAAGAAGTAACTTAGAAGACAAATTAATGAAACTAACCCTGGAGGAAATATAAAATTTGAATAGCACCTATTAAAGAAAGTATATTCCTAGCTTGAAAACCTACCTATATGACAACAGCAGGCTCATAAACATTTTAACTGATAAATTATATCAAACAATTAAAGCAGAAAAAAGAAGGAACACTTCTCCCCTCATTTTAGGAACTCAACATTGTGCTAATCCTAAAACTGGAAAAGATAATAGAAGAAAAAAGTATGAACATAATTTAACAAAACAAACTATTAGAAGTCAGATCTGGCAGGATGTAGAAAGTGGTTTTGTTATAGGGACGGCAGTGTTGGTTCAGCATTGAAAGATCCACCCCCAAAATTCATCATTTTAACAGAGGAAAGGAAAAAGCCATATGATCCTGTCACTAGTCGGAGAAAAAGTATTGGACTAAATTCTACAGCTGTTCATGGTAAAAGCTATCAGGAGACTAGAAGTAGAACAGAAACTTCTCAACAGATTAAAGACATGTACTCCATACTTCCAGCGAGAATGCCTTATATGAATGGAGAAGATACAATGCTTTCTCCTTAAGGTGGGGAACAAGGACAGATATGCTTACTCTTTATTTGTCCATTAAACTTTGAAACCTAGGCCCAAACCAAAATAGTCTGGCAATAAAATGACACAACTAGGATAGGATTGGCACAGCAGAAGTAAAATCTTTATATGTAGATGAAATGATCATCTAGAGAGAAAACACTAAGAAATCTCTAGGAGCCCCTAGAACTTGTACTTGAATTTAGCAGGATTAGAAAACACAAGGTATATATAAAAATTCAGGTCTGTGTATACTTGCTATAAATGAAGAATTGGATATTGAAATTTAAAAGTTATGTAGGAGTACAAAGGACCTAGAAAAGTTAAAAACAAAAACAAAAACAGTGTTGGAAGAGGTTTAGTACCTAATTTTAAGACTTCTTCTAAAGCTTCAGTAATCAAGGCAGTGTTGGTGTAAGGAAAGACATATAGATATATAGATCATTTGAATAAAACAGAGAATCTAGAAATAGAACCACACATATATGGTCCACTGAAAAACCACATCTTTTTTATTTTTATTTTTTCTGGTACCGGGGATCAAACTCGGGTCCTTGCACTTGCGAAGCAGGCAGTGAAACCACTCAGCTAAACCCCCAGCCCTGAACACAGACTTCTAATGACATCATGGAGTATACAAAGAAAAAAGTGAACTACCAAGGAAAAAGGCTCTATTTTGTATATTAAACCCCTTATTTTCAAACTAGATTATTACAAAGAGTGTTACTGTTACTTAAGCTGGGATATCTGAATTCCTAGGAAACTGTGAAATCACCTCAGTGTTTTCTCAGTAAATGTCTTCTAATACTTTAGCGATATTAATAATGAGGACCAGATAGAAAATCTGAGCCTTAGTTCAAGAATACAAATAGCTGTGCTACATAAATTAGTTTCAGAACAGTTTCTCTTCACCTTAACTTTAGTAATGGTGGGATTTTTTTTTTTTTGGTACCGGGGATCGAACTCGAGTCCTTGCACTTGCGCAGCAGGTGGCAAAACCACTGAGCTAAATCCCCGGCCCCAGTGGTGGGATATTTTAATTTTAAATGTTAGCACATTTGATAAATTTTAAGAAAGAAACATTCCACCTAAAATCTAGGTTAGCCACTCTAAATCAATGGGACGGCATATGGTGAGATAATCAATTTTGCTTTTATAATATCTTTTAAAAATATTTTGGCAATTTTGCTCTGTTGGAGACTGAATTTTCTGAGCAATGAGGCTATTCTTCTTAAAATAATGGTTGAAACACATTGTCCTTTTATATTAGCTTTCCTGACCCCCAAGAATAGTGTTTCACTTAGATACAGATCCTGATTCTTTCGTCAATTCCTAGTGCAGTTTCTGTCTGCCCAAGACCCAAGGATAGATTTACGACCCCTGATCTTGCTTTCAGTAATCCACGAATTTATGGCCTATTATTGTATTTCCCTGAAAATAAGGCAGTATCTTATATTAATTTTTGCTTCAAAAGATGCAATAGAGCCGGGGATTTAGCTCAGTGGTTCCGCCGCCTGGCTCGCAAGTGCAAGGACCCGAGTTCTATCCCCTGTACCAAAAAAAACACCACCAAATGGCCATTTAGTTCTGGCCATGCTTGGCCCGGGGATTTAGTTCAGTGGTTTCACTGCCTGCTGCACAAGCGCAAGGACCAGAGTTCGTTCCCCGGCACCCCCCCCACCGCCAAAAAAAATGCAATAGAGCTTATTTTCAGGGGATGTCTTATTTTTTTCATGTAAAACAATCTACATTTATTCATGTACAAAAGTCTACATTT